TGTGTCCAGTGAACACAGTTTTACATTGGGAAAAAAAAGTGTACCAGTTTTTTATGACGCAAAGTGTACATGGGAAAATTACATCCTACAAATAAAAGACTTTTTACTCACCGCAAAATATTGGACGGGTCTGTCTGCCTTCTCTGGATGAATCCTCTTCAAGTGATCCATAAGCCGAGACGGCTTCATAGCTTCGTTTGACAACGATTTTGCACAAATGAGACACAATGGTAGATTCTTATTTCCTGGCAATTCAATAAATCCATATTTCAAATACTCCGTTGAGTACTGCCGGCACTTTTTTTTAGGTGCTGACATTTTAAGATAAAAACAAAAGAGTAATTAATTACACCTTATTGAGAAGGCAAAGAATAAAAACACTATCTCGCAATTCTCAATAAATAATTATATTACCACGCGTCGACGTCACTGTCCAAATTCTAACATTGTGACTAAGAATGATTCTAATATTGTGAATTGTGACGCCACGTGTTGGATAAGATAAGTGGCTATGTCCAAATTGAAAGACAAACTTAACAGTTTCACAAATAAATCACAGTATTTTTATTAAAATAACAACTCACTACTCACTGAACACAATTATTGTCAGTTGAAACACGTTAAAACAAAACAACTTTATATAATACCACAATACAAAACTCGAGAACGAAAGACTCCGCATTTGAAGCGACGACAACTTCGGTCGTTCGCTTTTTGTTCGAGTCAGATCGGCAGGAGCGGTACCTACTTCTCATCATTCTTATCCCACCTCTCTCTCTTTCTCTGTTGTGCGGATGATCGCACAATACGAAAGCTGATCATAGGAAAATGCAGAATTCGTTATAATGTATAATTATAACGACAATGTATAGAATTAAATTGTATTATGATTCATAGCTCTCTGTGACTAGAGATGTTTGTTATTATTACCTGCATTTTTTTACCTGCATACTTTTTATTATCCTATGGATATATGATCAAAAGTATTGTATTTTTTTATTTTTTCTTATTTTTCTCAATTACCCATTTCTCGTTTTCTCGATGCTAAACGCCCCCCTTATCGCCCCCTTTTCTCTGTCGCCCCCCATATCGCCCCCTTCGCTCTATCGCCCCCTGAATATCTCAAATCGCCCCCAAGGGGGCGATCGCCCCCCGGTTGGGAATCACTGATGTAGTGCATTAAAGTCCTTCCCCCTTTTAAATTCAATGTTTGTTTCGTCCCTTCTAAGTGTTTTCTGTTTTAGTGTGTTTATATCATCCTTAATTGTTTGTATTTTACCATTTTATTTACTTGACTATTCCAATAATTAACTCATTGCCAATTGAACTTTATCAAAGTAATTTGATAACTACAAGTTGGAAAATAATTGCACACCCACACAATTTTTTACATCTACACTTATTCATTGTCATAAACTGTCACCTTCATAAACAATTACTTAATAAATAACACACATTTCAAAAATATATCTCTGGAATAAGTATAAGTAGCCTTTAATAACACAATAGTATATTACATCACTTACATTTAACAAACAATTTCACACATATCTCAAATTCATTGGATCAAATCTATCTCCGCAAGAACTTCCCGTTTACTGTCAAACCACTGCAATAATAGTATTGAGTTCTCCATTCAACAATATAAAGTAGTTTCAAACATGTTCTACCATCCATCTATTAATAGAGTACCGGCATCATTTGTTTAACTTTGTATCGAGACCTGAAGATGCTTTGCATATTGTAGAAAGCGAAACCGGTCGTCTGATAGTTAAATTAAATTGATTGTGAGTAAGTCTTATTTATTATTTCTTTACCTATTTGAAATGGACTCACACAAGCAACACATTCATGATTTGATAGGAAATAAATTCAACATTTAAAACAACAAACACTCTATTTTGATCTGTTTTGTCCAAAACCGAACCTAACAATGAACAAGACAGGGACAACGAATTACATCTATAAAATACCTTGTGACTGCGATCAGTTTTATTTAGGGGAAATATCAAGGCCATTAAATGTTAGAATAAGTAAACATCAATCTTATATTAAAAATGTAGAATTTGATAAATGTCAAATATGTAAACACGCATGGGATAATGAACATAGGGTTCAATGGAATAATTTAAATGTAGTCCTAAAAAAACGGATGGTAAAAAAGAAAAATCAAAGAAGCAGCTCTAATTATGCTAAATGAGACCAATTGTGTCGCAAATTCCTCGGCAGAACGTAGTAGGATCTGGTTACCCATATTGAAAGAGGAAGTTTTTAATAAGAAAATACCTAGTATGAGTAAGTCAGTAACATATAGGGGATACATCAATTATGTTTTTTAAATACCAAACATATAAAATCAGAATTTGGTGTATATTGAAGGCAAACTAAATGCACGACCAAATACTTACTATGTCGGGATAGTATTATGAGGTTTTTTTCCTCATAATTTACTATTTAATCACTAGCAGGAGAATTTTACTGTCATCATGGCATATGTTTGTCTTTTTAAAGACGAATTACATGCTATGATTTTTTTCTGACAAATATTCTCAAGTTAAAGTTGATTTCATGTAATCGAATGAACTAACTTATAAGAAAAGTCGTCCCAGGAGCGCAACTCAACAATATTGGTAATATCATTTTCAAGTCGTCTACTTTAAAATGCATAATGTATGTCTGCATTGTCAATATAAATGAGTCAGATAAAATTAAATTATTAGAAGAATTTTTCACTAAGTAACAAAAAACAAAATTTGTTTAATTTGCTGTTTGTATTTGAGAACGATTTCCGAAGTCGAAATTGAAACGTCGCTATTTTAACGTATTTTAACCTTTAATTGTGGCTTATTCCCAGTTAAATAGTAATTAATTTAAAATGCCACAAGAAAATAGCTTTAGAACAATAATACAATATTTAGTAATTAAAAATACTACTTTTATTTTACTTAAAATTTAGTTATTAGTAAATAAAAATCTATTTTACCTAAATTTAAAATTGACATTTTACCTTTCCTGAAACTTAAATTACTTATTAGTTAAAACAACGAAAATGGAGTTTGTCCCTTTTAATACTCAGGTCCAGATTTAACATCATATTGAATAAGTTAATATTATCACTATCAGTGATAATATTAACTTAGCAATATACAGATCAATATCAGAGCAATATATATATATATAATATATATATATATATATATATTTATATATATATATATATATATATATATAATATATATATATATATATATATATTTAGGCACCAATTTAAATAGCCAATGGTACCACTCAACAGAAATTAAACAGCGAATAATAAAAGCAAAAGCAGCGTTTCGTTAGAATGAGAACCATTTTTCAACAGTCGAGACATATCGTTAAAAACAAAATGCCGTCTATTGAACTGCTACATATTCACAGTTTCTGCTCTACGGAATGGAAGCGTGGGACACTGACTGTTGCATCTATGAATCGGCTAGAAAGCTTTCGAAATGTGGTGTTATAGGCGCATCTTACGTATATCCTGGGTTGACAGAGTTACTAATGTGGAGGTCCTGCGTAGAATGGGGAAAGAATGTGAAATTCTCATGACCGTTAAAACTAAAAAGTTGGAATATCTAGGACATGTAATGAGAAATCAAGAACGTTACGGCCTTCTCCAGCTAATTCTCCAAGGGAAGGTAAATGGTAAGAAAGGACCGGGAAAAAAGACGGCATTTCCTGGCTTCAAAATTTACGGAAAGTGGTATAGTTAACACGACTACCACTGAACTGTTCCGCGCTGCAGTAAACAAAGTAAGATAGCCATGATGATCGCCAACATCCGGAACGGATAGGTACTTTAAGAAGAAGAAATATTATCACCACATCTTGTTTTAAATGTTTTTATAGTTTTAATTTAAATTGAATTTAAATGAATTTAATTTAAATTTATAAATCACGAATCTCGAAATCCGAAGATTTCCAATTGTCGAAACCAAATTCAGATTTTTGCTTTAATCTGTGCCTTCTAGGAATTGCAAGGCAAAACAGAGGTTGATAAAGATGTAATTAGAGAAGTAGGGAATCTGAAATTGGATTCCAGGACATATCTCTTCGACTAAGCAAAAATCCTTGGCGAATTGGTTTTTCTTGGCGAAATTAAAAGAAAGACAAAATTGAGATTTGATTTCGCGTATAGTGCCTTTGTATATTCGCTTATACGTATTTCATTCTAAAAGTAATCTTCCAAGCGACGAACCCGAATTTTGAATTAAACATACTGCAAGAGTGTGCGTAAATAATTTAGTATTTCAAACTTCTATATTGCAAAGATCTTCGAGTTTATGCTCTCAAACCAAATTTAAAGTAAAAGATTTGCTATATATCGACACATTCCCTTGTCTATTCCAGAATTTATCTCAGTATTGAGATTTAATATACGTTAACTTATCTGGCGCGAAGCTAGTAATGTAAATATTTTCCTGACGCTATGACTTACCCTATATATTATTGTTATCAATAAACATCTCATACTTACTTTTTACCCTTTTTATCTCTTTTGGTCCTTAAGTAGCATAGACATAATAATATTTTTATTAGCTATTTAAAAAAACGTGATAGTTAATGGATACACAAATTATCTTTAAATGAAATATGAATTTTTTAAAAACTAGATATGACACAGTCTATAAATTTGACAAGTTTTCGATTAATAATAACATATTTTAATTTGAAGCTATTTGACTTCAGTGAAAGAACCCCGGCACTTTTCTAATATGATAGTGGTTTTAGTTCAATTGGCTAAAACTTTCCACATATGTAGCTTTACCATCTACTCCTATCCCACTTTATGTACACTAAAATTGTGTTATGTTATAAACATTTTCTGTTATAAAAAATTTATATGTTATAAAAATATATTACAAAAAAATAAAAACCTGAAAGGTTAGTATTCTTCTAATAGAAGCCTGTGCTTCTGTAGAAATAATTTGGATTAAAACATAAACAATTTGTTTGCTTACTCCTCTTTTAGTTTCATGTTTATCAGCGGAAGATCCGACGCATGAAAAACGCCCCTAATTTCCCCAGTTTCCAAAATCATGATTTTGCCTCTATAGCTTCCCACGATTAGTCGGTCTTGACTTAACCAACAGCAGCTCGTGTAATGACAGGGATCTAGTTTGTTGTAGCCGAACTGTCGCCAGGTAAAGTCGACACATCCTAGACAACGCAGTACTTGCTCGCCACAAACTGCTATTTGATTGACGTCATTTGGGTTACAAGCAACCTTAAAAATAGTACTATTTGAATATCAAAGTATTGACAATAAGAGGTCAAAGCATATCAACAACGCATTTTGCAATGTCTGACAGTGTTATATATAGTACATTCAACCAACTTACACCTCTAAACGATAAATTGAATTCGCATAAAACCGGTTGTTACAGTAGAAGGCACGGTAAACTGCACTGGAGTTCTGCAGAATCTTTTTAATTACTTACTTTGTTTATTATATTTTGTCCTGTATTATCAGTTAGAGTTAATTTGTGTAAAATGAGGATGAAGTTTTAAATATTATTGTTTATTTTGCTAATAATGAATGGAGACATATAATGGTTAACCCACAGTACAATTATTTTGTAATAACATTATAATAGTGTACTTACTGCTTATTTAAATTTATAAATCATTACCGCTAAATTCACTAAATTCACTACCGCTGTCAATATTTCCATTTATTTACAGTTTTGGCCCATATTTTGGGAGTTGCAGTTTTAAAGAGCTTCTTGCCACACTAACCTAACTGCATCTTTACTGTATCCACTACATTCAGCGTGATTATCATAATACGTTTTACATATACCCCAGATGTGTTCGATGAGATTAAGCTGGTAGTGATACAGCGATAACCGTAGTACTTGATGTCCATAACTTAATAAAATTTTGTCAACTATATAAACTGTTGGTTTTTCATTACGTTGCAAAATTTCTAGCAAGATTAGAAGGCGTATTCCGGAAAATTGATTTTATTTTTAACTAACCAATTTTTTATGCTCGGTACGTTCCACGACTGTTTTGGTGATTTCTAGAAAATCTCCGAATGGTAAGGAGCATTATCTAAAACTATAACTAATGGTTCACTCACACTAAGTAACAGTTTTTCCTCAAGCCATTTAACAAACATATCTGCATTCATGTTTTCATGGGAATCAGCAGATTTTGGTTTTGAAGAAAAAATCAAATCTACGTTTTCTATAAAGCCTTCTTTCCCTCCAATATGAAGAATGATGTGTCTTTTGCCTTCGCTATCTGTGCGTTTTATTGGTTTTTAACTGTCGTCTTCTTCTTCTTTTTGATGTGCCTATTCGTTACGAATGTTGGCGATCATCATGGCAATCTTTATCTTATTTGCAGCATCGCGGAAAAGCTGCACAGATGTTGTATTGAACCAGATTCTGAGTTCTTTAATCAAGATGTTCTTCTTCTTCCTGGACCTTGCTTTCCAAATATTTTTTCTTACAGGATGGCTTGAGGGAGAGCATATCTGGATTTATTTCGCATAATATGTCCGAAGAATTGTAACTTTCGAGATTTAATGGTGGTTAATACCTCTCGGTTCTTATTTATGCTTTTGAGAACCTCTTCATTTGTGACTCGGGCCGTCTACAGGATCTTAAGTATTCTCCGATATAGCCATATCTCAAATGCTTCCAGTTTTCTGCATATATCTTCGTTCAAGGTCTACGATTAAATACCATAAAAAAATGGACAGAGAAGACGTAGCATCGCAGCTGTGGTCTTGCCAATTGTTTTTAATTCCACCCTTTGCATATATCCATGTCCCATCTAGGTATACGAATGTTGGATTTTCAGATTTAAGTCTAGTATATTGTTACGATAAATATGCATCATAAATATTGTTTTTAATTCTGATAAGCTCTAGATTTTACCAGCTGGCAGAAATTTAATGTAATACCTACCTGAAACGATCGGCTAAAAACATTAGTATGGCGTGACCTTCTAGTCTTTTTGCCAAGGGTCAGGAAGGTCGACGAGATTCGAGATTAACGGTGCTTTTTATATAAGAACGAGGTTTTATTGGAGTTGGTCAGTTCGAAGATAATATCGGTTCAAGTTTTAAATGTAACGCTCGTATTGTAAATAAATTATGTAATTATTAGTGTAAGATAAATTAGTACAAATAAAGACTTTAACATAACTTGGAGGTAAGTGTTATACATGTACAACTTTTGATAATAAATAAAGACAATAAATTGTATTTTAATAAAAATCCAAGAATATTCTCTCAAAAATTTAATTCTTTTGTGAACCACACTACTCTTTTCGTATAAAAGTAACCTATTATTCTGTTTTTTGAATTCAAACACTAATCTCTTAACACTTTCCAAATGTTAATGTCAGAAACTTGTCTTTCTCTTATTTTGACCAGTAAAGCATCTAAACTGACATGTTGATTGTTTTCACGCATTCGACACAAAATATTCGAATTTCAAATTTTTCTCCATCAGGAAAGTCAATGCTCCTGACATGTTTACGAGTTGTTTTCTTGTCGTCGTGATACTCAGTCACAGTAAGATCTTCTTGAGACAGTCTTCATTACAGTATCTTACTTTCACTTGTCACAAGTACGTCACAAACGCGTCGATTTATACATAATAATAACTTTAAAGGTCCACCATTGTCTCTTTCCATGGTAAAGTATTTATGTATATTTGCAATTAATTTATTAATACCAACTTACGTCTGATAATCACTTGAAACAACATGTTTAAATTACAATATAATGAGTTTAGATCAATATAACAGAAAATTTTGCACTGTTGTGCTTGAAAGGTAAAATATAATCTAACCGCTTACAAACACCCTAAACACATTAAGCAAATTAGCCTAATGATCATCAAGAATTCCGATTGTAATTTAATATATGTTTGATAAAAAGTTTAGAAATGGTTACAAACCGTAAATAAACAAATTAAAATGTTTCCCACAATTATTTTATTTTTAGTACAAGTATTTTAATTTGAAAATAAAAATTTAAATACACATATTTACCAAAACTAACTTTAACCTGTAATCCCAAAAACGGTACACTCTTAAAGACATATGGCCAATCTAACCACCACTATATTGACAAAATTTATATTGACAAAATATTCTAGTTTACTCCGAAGTATTTTTTAACAAAACTCAAAAGTGATATTTTGGTACTTTTTATATCTACTTTGAATATAAATTATCTTTAGCACGATAGTATTTGTTTTAGAACAAAATTATTAAACAAGTAGGTGAAAGAAATTTACGTTAAATAACATTATACAAGAATACTATTCATTAAAAAAAATGTAACAAAATATGCAAAACTATGAACGGGTTAACGACACACATATTTATTTTATATCTAAAATTTAGTAAAGTGTTAAACGTTATGGAGAACACCAGTGCAGTTGACCGTGCCTTCTACTACAACGAAAGATTTTTTGGCGAATTCTGTTAATCGTTTGGAGGTGTAAGTTGGTTGAATGTACTGTATGCAAAGTAGTTTTGGGCGCGTAACGTAAAATACCGGGATACATGACGTAACTTGTAACTACCGTTACCAGGTGTCCCGATTTGCGCGGAACGTCCCGATTTTCAGGGGTCTGGGGACGCGTCCCGATTTGTACCTAATCGGGACACTAAAGGTCCCGATAAATCAATAAAATAAAAAGCCATCATCATTAGACAAAAATATTACATTACACATTACACCGCTATATCGACAAATCAAAATTTTAACTATAGGCAAATATAGCAACTCAACATCACAGTACTTTTATTATAAAACGTAATAGAAATAGTGTCAGGTTTCACTGAAGCACTTGATAAATATTTTACAAGTATGTGATCGCTCCGCGAATTCCGGGAATTTCGCGATGTGCTTCTTTCATGCTTCTTTCTTTAATGCTTCAACTTCAACTCCGAAAAAAAAAAGAAGCAAAGAAGAATGTGTTCTTTCCTTGATGTTTGGTCGAAAAATTACTTGTTCATCAAATCCGTTTCATACAATAAGTTTAGCGCACTTTGTACATTGTGTTAAAAAGAGTTTAGCATATCTCCTGATAGCAAAATTGATATAGAAAAACACAAAAAATATAATGAACACCAAAAAAGAGAAAGAAGTGACAGTTTATCAAGATCGCTAAAAGTGTTTTTAAAAACCGATCAAATGAACATTCAAGAAGGAAAAGTGATAGCCGCTGAAGTCACTAAGATATACCACTCGGTCAAGCATTATCATTCAATTTACTCGTTTCGATACAAAACTCGACCATATTTTGTATTTATTTTGATTTAAATAAATTCATTTTGAAGCTCCATTGCCATTTATCATATTAAATGAAATGAGGTTGAATGCTCGAATAAATGAACTTTGAAAATAAGGCGATTATCGAGCACAAGTTAATTAAATCTAGCCCAAGTACTTTCGCTTAAAATAGCATCTTCAGGGGCATCTGCTCTTAAACAAATTGCTTTAAATAATGATTATGATTCCCAACATTATCCATAAGCTTCTAAATAGAGCTAAACTCAAAATTACAGAAAAGCTTGCATATTCATCACAAAGTCCTCTCCTACAAAATGCTTCTAACAACATCAGATATTTCTCTTTTACTTATATTAGTAACATTTCTAATAAAATAGCTAAAACTTTTTGCTTCTACAGTTGAAAATATCAAAATTTTCGTTAAGTCACACAACACTGTAGGTTCCTTTTTAATTAACACCAAAGACAGGCTGAACACACTTGACAAAAGTGGTATTTACAAATTAAAGTGTGATGATTGTGATGCCTCTTATAAAGGCAGAACCATTAGAAAGCTATCTACTAGAATATCAGAACATTTAAAAAGACCAAACTCTTCAAGTTTTGGTCAACATTTAGAGTCTAGCAAATACAATTTCAACATCAATACTGGGTCGTCTATTTTGCATGACATCAGTAGAAAGAAAATCTATTTGGAGTTGGATCTATTGGAAGATTTGGAGATCACAAGGGAAACGAATGGAAACTCTCATTGTCTTAATACTCAAATTAATTTAAACTGTACTAAATTTAAACCTATTTTTAAACACTTTATTACAGCTTCACCTCGTAGTGGACCCAGCTCGGCTGTCTAGACTTCCTGCACTGAGTTTTATACATTAAGAATCTACCAATTTCAAGCTCTGTTTAGCATATACTATTGTTTTTAACAATTTACACAACTAGCTTGCTCAGATTCAATTGATCCACAGTTGGAGTTGATTTCACTCTTCATACCTCTGCATAATCTACATATACTAATTCCACAGTTTTATATTTCAACACCTGTTGGTCAGTTGGTCTTTAGTAATGCTATTACATATTAGTTTTGTAGTTCCCCATTGGCTTGAGGTTTAACTGAACTACTTGAACTATACCATTTACACACTGCTTTCAATTCTGATCTAATTTTAATATTTCAATTTCATAGTCAGTTTTCTTCTCGTTTTGCAGTATGACAGTGCCTGGTAGACCATTTATTGTAGTCAACTACCCACTGTCCAATAGATCGTTTGGTCTATTTCTTTCATTCACACTTTATGTACACTTCACTTAGCCTCAAACCTACAACCTTATTATTACAGACCGGTGTGAGTGTGAGATCTGGATTATGCAATCTAGTTTGAATCAAAATATTTTATATGTCATACTTCATCAGCTGATTTTTTCAGTAGTAGTTCTAGTTTGACCTTTGGCCAATGACAACTTATACAGAATTTTAATATTTGCTGATCACAGATCCATAACTTTGACTGCCTATCAAAGTTGTCATATGTCACATGTCACCGTATCATTTCCGATTATATCATTATCCTCCAGATACTGACAGAGAATGTAGCGTAGAATCTTTAAGTAATTTTAAACTGTTTGTCCTCGTTTTAGTGTAGTGTTTTGTACAATTTTTGTTATTTTTATTGTTTTCACATTCTACGCTTGCCGGATAGTTTACATTTTGACGAAGTAAGTCTAAAAACGTTAATCTCAAAAACTTTTTTCATCCATTAACTTCGAGTTTTTTATCGAAGTTAACTAATTTACTTCATCTAAAAAACGTTTTCTTGGCTTATTTCAGATGCCCTGACGATGCTATTTTAAGCGAAAGTACTTAGGCTAGATTTAATTAACTTGTGCTCGATAATAGCCTTATTTTCAAAGTTCATTTATCATATTGCGAGAAACGAGTTGACGCTCTGAAAGATTTGTATGTGATCCACGATTCACGACGCTGAATTTGTTCCTGTCCTGCGGCATGTTTCAGACGAGATGGTTATCACTTCTACCTGCCGTGGAACGTGTTATCAAATCTTTCAATATCCTAAAAGATTATTTTATATCATTGGGAGAAGACGAATGTCCCACTGCGCTATTGCAATTCTTTAACTCTGACGAAACGGAACCTTGTTTGGCATTGTACCGAAACGCACTGAAAGTCTTACAGGATTCAATAGTATGTCTTGAAAACTAAACATTGCTGTGTGTTAAAGGTCACAAAATAATGATTGACATACACAAAAAATTGAGGCAGAGAATTGAAGATGAACTTGTGGGATTTACGTGCACCGACTTATTTAAAAAGTCTGCGGATAAAGTTACTAAAATAAAAAAAGTCTGTTGTACATGGTACAAAAATATTCTACATTACATAGAAATAAGATACAATTTCAAGGATAGCCAATTGTACTTATCTAAGATATTTTCTCTCCAGGATGACTCTTTTCTTATGCGTCAATGATCAACATAATTGAAAATTTAAAAATTTATACGTTCTTCGACTTGCAGTGAATTTTATAACTATGTTATAAAAACCAAGGCACTGTTAAAGGATGAATGAATGTTACATTAAATTTCCTGCTACTGATGAAGAAATGTCATTTACTAAACTAAAATTTAAAAGATGATACAAACGATATAGATAACAGTGGCCATTTAATTGAAGCTTGCCAAATAAATCAAGCGTTTGATAATCAAAATATATATGGCATTGCAAGAGATGTTATTGTCCAAATTTTTGTTTGATAATATGAGAATTAATTTTAGTTTATTTAGTTTTAACATCGACTAAGTTAATGGTAAAGAGAAAAAATTACGTACTCTTCCTAACAAACTAGTGTTGGCTTTCAAAAATCTATTCATAATTTCGTTAAAAGTGTGTTTTTAAAAATTAATAATAAAAATACAGTGGGGTTATGAAATCGTATTCTTCTTTTTATTTATCGACAATAGTTTAAATATATTCGAGCTAATACCTAATAAAGCATTTCATAGATAAGCAGTTCTTTAATTTGTGAAACGCGATTGTTCCCAAGTCGATACTTAGGAATACTTTAGGATATTTAGGAACTTGTTTTCGATAAGAATTACTTCCGAAGGCAAATGTTTAGGTATCGTTGATGAAATCGGGCATAAAAGACCAGGCAAAAAACAACAATAAAACTTACCTGTACAACAGTTCCTGTCCCGTTAAGATTGTTAGCCCTTGCGAAGCTCTCTAGTTTACCTTTGTCGCATTTGAAAACATAGAAGGTCCAGTCCGGTTCTGCTGTTACGCAAACGATAAATTTAGAATCGTACGTAAATTCCAAGCAAGCATACCGGCTACATACAATGTCTTTATCTTGAGGCAAATTTATGGTTTTCTTTTTCCTAAAGAGGGCTGGATCCAGAGTGTTATCACTGGTAATTTGTCGGTTGTTTCGGCGATGGCTATCAATTTCCTGCAGAAAGTGCATCAGTGTCGTAAATAGGCGAAAACAAAAATTAAAAACTGCGCTTAGAATCACTGCAATAATGTAATAGATTTGTTTCTGCAAAAAGTTTCTGAAAATAAGAAACTGAGCCATAGACGTGTTTTATGCGCTTATCATAAGATAGTGTTTGTTTTAAAAGAAAAATATGACATTAGAAAACTTTTTGACACAGTTATTGGCAAGTTGAACAAATATTTAAATATTTGTCGAACAACTGGCTTTCAGATCTACATCATTAGCATTATGCGCAGACTCCAACGGTACAGAATGTGTTTAGAATTTGAAACTTAGTTTATAGCTAGTAAGCTTACAGCGTAAAAAAAAATGCAATTGACATCCAGTACTAAATTATATTGAACGATTTGTTTATTATTATTTTTTTATACAGTCTGTAAATAAAAGGGACATATTTTTTTTACTTAACAATTTATGATGTGCTTCCGAAGAGCATATATATATATATATATATATTATATATATATATATATATATTATATATATATATATATAAATATATATATATATATATATATAATATATATATATATATAGATATATATATATATATATATATATATTTAATATATTGGAGCAAGGCTTCACACGGTTTTCTTCCATTTCTTTCTATCTTGTGCTAAGTTTTTCCAATCTTGTACCCGTAGCGACTTCAGATCTTCTTTTGCCGACTCCAGCCATTTTCTTCGAAGGCGGCCTCTTTTTCTTTTTGTACTAGCCTCCGTGTTTATTAATTCATTGGGAACTCTTCCTTCCTTCATTCTTGCTATATGTCCGAGCCATCTTAATCTTTAAATTTTAGCGAGTCTTGATATTTTTGGTTGCCATATATTTACATTATTTCTTCATTCGTTCTTCTTCACCAGATGTTGCCCTCTTTTACACCTCAGTATATCCTTCTAAGAATTTTTCTTTCCCATCTATCTAATTTTACTTCCATATCTTTATTTAGTGTACAGGTCTCGCTAGCATAGAGTTACTGTAGGTCGGATAACTGTTGTATATATTCGTTTTTTTTTGTGTTCTGGATATTATCTTCGACCTCAGTATCTTAGTCACGCTCCCAGCACTCTTACTACCTTTGACCATTTTTTTTATGATTTCTTGGTTCTCTTCGTTCCTATTTGTTAGTGTCACTCCCAAGTAATCGAATTGGCTAACAACTTCAAAGTTATATTCTTTACTTGAGCTTTGTACGTTAAAGGACTGTCATAGATGATTTTCGTTTCCTCTTATCACCATATATTTTGTTTTTTCTTCGTTTATTTCTATACCATATTCCTCTCTATTCTAGTAAATATTTCTCTTAATTTTGCAGGTCTCCTTGTTATTAAGGTAACATCATCTGCATATGCTACGCATTGATGCCTGTGATGATATATTTGTGCCTCTATTGTCGACATTAATTCTTGTAAAATCTTCTCTAAGATCAAATTGAAAAAATCTGTTGATAATGGGTCCACCTTGTCTCAGACCTTTATTGGTGATAAAGCTATTCGAAACCCGTTCCTTCTAACATGACTTTACTTTTAGTAACATTGAGTATGCATTTAGTCAGTCTTACTATTTTTGGTGGAAATTCAAAATATTCTAGTGCTTCATATACTTTATTTCTTTTTATAGTATCATATGCCTGTCTAAAATCAATAAACAGCATGTGTAATGTTAGGTTGAACTCATATGAGCTAGCTAAAATTTGTTTCATTGTAAAAATTAACGATCTGTTTGTTTTGAAACCTGCTTAATATTCACCTAGACAATTTTCAACTTTTGTTTTAATTTTATTTCTAATTGATATGGCAAGAATCTTATACACTGTATTTTGTAGAGCTATTCTTACGTACGTACGTACTTCTTTCTTTACATCTGGGTCCCTTACTTCTTCATGTTGTAGTTGCGTTTGTTGTCTTTCATCTTGGTCGTCCGTACATAATTATATTCTCGAAATAATTGGCCCACCTTCTTAATTTCTCATCTATGCCACCTAACAGATTCCCCTCTTCATCTTTATAATATCTTGATGTGGTTTTGTACTGGGTTCGGTCTCGTTTTATTTCTTGGCAGAAATTCCTGACTTGTTTATGTAAAAAATCTTCTTCAATACGAACTAGTTTCTGCTCTAAACTTGGACCGCTTCATTCTTCTACAGATCTTTGCTTCCCGTCTTTTTGCTGCATAAGCTTTTTTACTTTTCTTATTATTTTCTTATTATGTTATTTATTCTAGCTTTATTTCGGTCACTAATGGCTTTCTTACAATCCTTATCATACCAATCCGTTTGTTTACATTGTCTGATTCTTGATAATACTGAGTCGGCTGCTTCTTGAATTTTTCCTTCTAGTTATACCCATCTGCTTTCTATATCATTTACTATTGTCTGGCTTTTCAGTTTCGTTTCAATTTGCTGCCTGAAGTTTTTCTTAACTTCTCCCTCCTGAAGTAGTGCACCGTTATATCTTTTATTTTTTTACAACTAGGAGAGCATAGGATGTTTATAAGTTTTTTGCCAGTATTGAATCATATAGTGATGACTTAAATTGATAATGTGAAGAAATGCAAAGCTTAAAGATAGACATCCTTGGATATCGTGCAGTTTGGTGGCCCAACAGCTGCAGACTTGTATTAGACGATTAGGTGTTTTATAACTCTGAAGATAACATCCCACAAAAGTGCAATGAAGTAGCTATTGTCACCAACAAAGAAACCAAAACGCCATGCTGTGCAATATAAACATCATTATAGCATACGCACCGACATCTGATAGCACAGAGGAAGAAATAGACAGTTTTTACAACGAATTAGACAAAACACTGGAACAAACCAATAAAGAGAAAGTTATTAGAGATAAGAAATGCGAGAGAGAAAGAGAGGGAGCAAGAGAGCAAGAGAGCAAGCGAGAGAGAGAGAGAAAGAGAGAGATAGAGAGGAAGACTTGGAACCAGACCAGTTGGTGAACTGAAGACAGTGTCGATTTTGTATCGGAGTATAGCGTAGAACGGTTCTGAAACTGTTTTTTAGAGGCTAAGTTAAATATTTTGATTATATGGGAGTAAGCAAAAATTGATTTTAATTAAAACAAACAACTATTAATTATTATAAATGTTCATTATTTTAAAATATTTTTTTCTTTTTCATTTTTTGACTGTAAATCGAAACGTCAAATATAAAATGTAATTTTCATAAAAATCAATTGCAACTTAATCCCATATTAACAAAATATTTAATAGCGTAGAACGTTTTAAAACTGATAAGTGTTTACGGACCAGATAATGGATAACATAATACAAAAAAAGAATTAAAAAACGATACCAAATCGGAAAAAAAACAACTTAAAATAATCTGTTATGCATAAAACGCAATACTACTCTATTCAAGTGAAGATGATTTACAACGTATGCTGCACCAATTTTAATATAACCGCTAGAAAATTAAACACGTTAATTTCCCCAAAATAGACAAAAACATGCATCGTTATAACAGCAAATTATAAGTAAATTGGAGCTAGAAGGTCAGATAATAGAACAAGTGATGGAGTTTAAATATCCAGGTATCACCTAATCTAGCTACGAAAAGCTTGAAAACAGAAGTGGAAGATCAAATAAATAGAGCAAACAGAGCCGTAGATTGCCAAAATGAAACAATACAGAGAATAAAAAATATAAAAAAAAAATGAAAGGCAGAATTTACAAAACAGTCAAACCAGTCATGAGTCCAATAATGATATAAGCAGCAAAAACACGACTTGACACAGAGAGGACAAAAAGGATGTTAGATCAGCAGTGCTAAATCACTTGATAAAATACTACAACTATATAATGTAGATGCAAGGTGGAGAACATCAACGACTTGGTAAGAAGTACGAAGTACGAAGAATGGAACGATCATATAAGCTAAATTATAGCAAATAGAGTAGTCATAGAGACCAGAGTAGAATAGAAAAGACGTCAAGAGACAGTTCTCCAATAGGAAGACCACAAAAATGACGGAACGACAATTTACTGAAGGCATATTAAAAAACAGCAGTCATTTCTACATCAAAGGAAAAAAAAAGAAGAAGAACTTATATATGACATTTAAAGTGAAGAAGTTAAAAGTTATCATATGTTAAAATAGTGGTAACCGTAAAATATCGCCACAGAAAAGTGGAGGGGACAACTGATTAAGCTTAGATTTTTTTAAATTGTAACTTTAAATTAAAGCGTACTGGCACAATTTGCAATACCTCTGCTTCCTCTTGCTGTAGCTTTTTGCAATATCTTAACTAAAATTTCATTTAAAATCAATTCAAATAGTCAGCTTTTAATGTAATTAAACAATTGAAATTGTTTTTTAATATAAACATGAATCCTTATTAAGTCGATTTCTATTTACAGAAAGTTCTAGAAAAACAGTCTGGGTAAGTACATCATCATCATCATTCAGTCTTTACAATCCTGTGTAAGTCCTAGCCTCCTTAAGAATTTCTCTTCAGTCATTCCTATCCATCGCCTTTCTCTGCAAAGCACGTATTCCCATATTTCTCATGTCTTTATCGATGTTATCAAGGAATCTGGTTCTGGGTCTTCCTCTTCTTCTCTGGCCAATAGGTCTATCAAGGAGCGTTTTTTAGCTGGGTCAATTTGTTAAAGGCACTATCCACCTCAAACGTCTTATATTAATATATTTTACGATATCTGGTTCCTGGTAGGTATATTATATAAAGTTCAAAGTTCTATCGTGTTTTTAACACTCCATAGTCATTCCCTGCTCTATAGATTCGCCTTAGTACTTTTATTTTAAAACATCCTAACATGTTTTCATCACTTTTTGTTAAAGTCCAGGTCTCTGAATCATACGTTAGGACTAGGCGTATTATAGTTTTGTAGGGATTTATTTTTGTATTTCTCTTGTCCTGTTCTATCTGTTAGTCGTGCAAATTCAGCGGTTTATCTCTGCGGTTGTATCATTTTCAG